ACCCCCTTACCAAACAGTACACAGTGCCTGCTTTCCTTCCAGACTCTCCCTCACCTCTGGGAAAAATGAAGCAAGAAGGGGCAGCTGCTCCATCAAAACCCCCCAGAGGCCGCAACTCACTTTACGAATTTGAATCGGTACATTTCATGCAGACTTGGACTAATCCCCCAGAAAACAAACAGGCCACCACAGTGAGCAAAGTAACACAAAATTATACTGTATATTTAATAACATAGCTAAGTCAAGTTTCTACACCTATACCACTCATATATTTCCCAAATGACAGAAACAAGAGAGAAGGGATTAAAACCCAAGTGTCCCGGGAAGCCTTCCTGACCACACTCTCGCACGAGAGCAAGTGTTGTTCAGAGACGGGGAGAGGATTCTGTTGAGCACGTCCTTCTTCTTGAAAGGTAATAAATATGGCGTCTGGGGGCTCTTCTCTCTTCCCCTCTCAGGCAACCAGGGCAAGTCGGCTTACAGATCCATTTTACCACCAGGGCCCCCATGGCTGGCTTGGAAGGAGCCCTGCGAACTAAAGATCTAGGAGCATCCATACTCCTGGACTGGGGCAAGCATTTACCAGTACAGCTGCCTGAGTAAGCCCAGACCTCGACTACACACTGCCTTCCACCATCCCTCTCCATCTCAACTCTGGCCTCCAGGAGGAGAGAATTTTCCCAGTCCTCACAGAGTCCTTCAAGGGCCACAGCTACTATCCAAGATGCCAGTGGTAAAAGCACGTCTTGTGGTCCTCCCTTAGCCCGTAGGACATGGCAACAGGCTAGAGACCTGAACACCAACTGCTGCCTCTTCTGCCCCATCCCACATGAGCCCAATATCAAGCTTCCCTAAGCTTCTATTTCTCCCTCAGCCAGGAATGGCACTCCTCTTACCCCTCAATCAAAGACAGCCTAGTTTTAGGCTCTTAGTACCATCTTGTCCCCACCACTGAAAGGACCTTGGGGAGCTGCCTCATAGCAAGTGCTCAGTCAATACACAGGGAATAAGGAGGAAAGGAAGTAAGAGAGAAAAAGATGGAAAGTAGAAGGAAGTGAAATTAAGTCTTTAATAGTTCTGCATTTCCTAACTCTTGAGTATTTACTAGCTTTACTCAGCTGGAAATAATTTTAAATGGCAACAAAACATAGTTCACATTTTGAAAACTCTGCTTTTCTGTGTTACTCATGGACAAGTGCTCAGAATCCACTGTGACCTCAGAAGGTTGTATGTCTGAGACCAGCTGGACTGAATGTACTCAGCCCCACAAATACACCCCGACATGCCCTTACACCCCAAGCATGCCTCCAGCCACTCTTCCTTCACTCATTCACAGCGCCAGGCTGGGCCTCCTCTGCAGGAGGAGGGCTTCACCTATAAGTCATGAATCTTAAAAACAGGATTACTGCTATCAAGGCAAGAAGATGGGTGAGAGGCTAGAGCAAAAGGTCCTTGTCTGCCACCCTGCTGTGGAGACTACTAGTTTTACTTCTATGTTTTGTGAGTACCTGACACACTCTAAGCACATGATGGGTGTTAAATATCATCTCCCATTGCTGTTTATGAATCGAGAACTCAGGGTCATGGAAGGAAGGATAGGTGATACTTGGACACAAGAAAGAATACCTGCTTTCTTCCAGTCGTGAGCACCACAAGTTAAGCCTGGGGCTTGAGGTTTCATGTTTCATGCTACAAGTATCTAAGTTCACACATAAGGAAAAAAGGCACAAAAGCCCAGCATCAGATAAATATGACAAATAGCTCTGACATATTTTAAATAGAAGAAAGAGATTAATTAAGAAAAGAGATGTGCCAGATCTTCTAACTGTCCAGGTTCCTTCTAACTATGAGGGAGCTAGAAATTTTCAGGTAAACAAGGAGTAGCTGCCCTAGAGGACAGCTTCTCCCCACCCCACCCCACCCATGTTCTTCATGAGGGGTTCAGGAGCTCATCACATTAGTGACACTGATGACCACATTCAATAGGGAAAGTGGCAGGGACGGAAACGGAAGGCAGCCATCAAGGGCAGGAACACTATGGGAGGAAAGGGAAATTCCTGCTGAATCCCCACTTCAGGAAGACTGCAAAAGAGCCACGAGGGCCAGCCAAAGCCCCGGGCAAGAGTGGAGCCACGAGAGCAGGTAAAGCCACTAAAGAAGTACTATCCCAGAGAGAAGAGTCTGGCTTTGCAGAGTATGGTCCTTTCAGCTTTGCAGAGTATTTTCTTATTGATCATTTCAGGTCATCTTCACAATACTCTAGAAAGGTCTAGAAAAGTAGTATTTACATTTACTAGATGAGGAAACTGAGGCTCAGAGAAGGGAATGACTGACTTAAGGCTACTCTGTTGGCTGGTGGCAAAGCAGAATTTCAGTCTTCCAGAACGACCCTGAGGCTGGGAGGCAGAGGCTCCCAGACTGGGATAAATGGGGTGAGTTTATTGAAAGGTTCCAATTCATGGACACAGAGAAAAGAAATTGATCTAATAATAAGATGAAAAGGCCCCTGTCCCAGTATATTTTCAGGTAAAATAAGAAGGAACAGAGATAATACCAGCATAAGCCCTGATCACCTAGTGTAATCCCAAAAGCAAACTATTTTTAAAGAGTCCAAGATACCATCTGTGAAGTTAGGCAAAAGGTCATCTCAAATAACTGTGGGTCAGGAACTGAACAGCCAGCCAACAGTGAGTGAAAGATTCATCCAGGGCCAAGAAAGTGCGCTAAGAGGACAAGAAGACTCTAAAGGAGAATGTGAAGAAAACATAAGATCCAGGTTTTCACCAAAGATGAGGAACATTAGGACGTAGCAGAGGGTTTGGCACAGAGCTAGTGACTAATAAACGTTAGCTGATAGTAGTAGTAGCAGGCACAGAGCAGTACTAGTAACAGAAAGCTATGTCCTTCCTCCAAGTTGTAGCCAAAAAAAAACAACAAAAAACCCAAACTCAGTTCATGGTAATCTAAACTGCTACTCAATGATGAGGGCAGACGTCTGTCCTAACCTGGTTTGGTTTTTTTTAATCCTCACCCGGGGATATTTTTCCATTGATTTTTAGAGAGGGAAAGACAGAGAAACGCATCGATTGGTTGCCTCCTGTATGTGCCTGACTAGGGCCCAGGCTTGGGAGAAGCCTGCAACCAAGGTACATATCCTTGACCGGAATCGAACCCAGGACCCTTAGGTCCACAGGCTGACACTATCCACTGAGCCAAACCAGCTAGGGCTGTCCTCAACCTTTTATTGGCACCATCTTCAACAGCTGCCATGCTCTATTCTGTGAACAGGTAGCCTAACACACTCCAGAAGAGGCAGGTAGAGTAGAGGAATCTGTGTGGGGATGCTGGGAGAGCCTGTTTGTGTTATTTGGCCTAAACCCATATGCAGCAAGCACGTGGACCATCTCCAGCCCTGAAGAACTTCCCTCTACCACGGACCCCACCCTAGTCGCCTGAAGCCAGCAGAAGTCCACAGGTAACCATCAAGACAAAGTCACCAGCCCACCTGTCATCCCCCACAGGCTGTCCCACCCTCCCTCAGGCCTTACACATACCCAGCCCACAGACCCCAAAGCCTGGCTGACTGGCTTAAGCAGGGACATCATTAGGAAGAAACTGAGGAGGGACAAAGCTCGACGGCTCCATCTTCCACCCTCCGCTCCCACAGGCGTAGGCCTCTCCCTGCTGGTCTTTCCTTCCCTCTTTCCGAGGATCGCTAGAATGATTTGTTCTGAACAGCGACAGGTTTATAGGTTAGCCGACACCTCCGCTCTGTGGAATTTTAATTAACTTCTCCCACCGTCAATATGCTAAGGAATGGGGTCTCCATTCTCTGGGGTCAGCAATGTGTTTCAGGTCCTGCTATATCAGCCGTCAAATTGAAGAATTAATGACGTGGCTAATCGGCTCTAATTCTTTAGGAAGAAAAAAATTTGAAAGGGAGTTGTGGAAGGGGGCAGGAGGAGGCATGCAAGCTCCATTGGGTGAAGAGAAAAAAGGAAGGGGGCTGAGCAAAGGGGGGAACTGACTCTCCCATAAAACAAATGACTGACTCAAACCCAGTGTTGGAGGGTGGCAGCCCTACAGCTTTCCTACTGATCATCTAGATGGGGAGTGAGGGGTAAAGTAAGTGGGGTAGACCCTAAGTAAACACTGTGACAGAGCAGGTGCAGGAGAGGGCATCAATGCACCCTGCTGAGGAGGAGAGAGGCTCTGCCTTAGTCCAAGAGAGCCTAGACTGAAAGCAGAAGTTAGAATGCAAGCTCACTCATTCATAGATAAAGCTAGAGAAATACCAGTCAGGCCAAAGGTAGGATAAATCCACCATAAAAAATCTGGCACTTCTGCTACAATGATCAATGCCTCTATGTACATACATGTCTTTGGATGAGGGCCCAATGGCACACAGGTCCCAAGCTCTCCTAATGACTCAGTGCTCTAAGGCAGTGGTCGGCAAACTGCAGCTCACAAGCCACATGCGGCTCTTTGGTCCCTTGAGTGTGGCCACGAAGTTTCGATCGCACTATACGTGCGTGCCCGCACGTGGTATTTTGGGGAAGAGCCACACTCAAGGGGCCGCAGTTTGCCGACCACTGTTCTAAGGGATTCTCCAAAAGACATTTCCCAAGGGGAACAAACCACTGATGTGTTATGAGAGCAGTTTGGCTAGTGCTGGCACCTCCCAGAGGTGCTGAGAGGCCTCTGCTTTGGTAACAACCCCAAAGGACATCTCTTCCAGAAGAGACATGGCTGTAACAGCTGGACTCAATTACCTTCTAACATAGTATCTCTTCCTTCACATTGCTGGGCTAGATGCTTAGGAAGTTGGTTCCTAGAAGGTTATCTCAACCCAATGCTTGTATGAACCGGAGGATTTCCAAAATCTCCAGGAGAGTAGCACAAAGCAACCTAGCATATACAGGTAGAGGATTTTCTAGCCCAACTGGCCTTGTAAAATAAAAGCATTATTATATGAGACATATCCAAAATGTCTCCCTTACCTGAGTAATGGGCTGATAGCAATGGACCAGACTCGGTCTTCAGTCTGGATGGTGTGTAAGCACTGCCCAAGCCGGCCTGAGGCCAAAGACCATACCTGGAAACAGGAGAGAAGATGCTCTCGTTGGCATTGCCTGGAATTGGTGTGGGGTGACTGTCCCTGGGCAGGGGTAAGGAGGGTGGGAACGGAGAATCCTTTCTGTCCTGTATACACAGAGCGCAGGGTATCAGCAGAGGTGCCGCCCTGGCTTCTGGATAGCCTACCACCCAAACAGACCTGGCTCCCAGTCCTAACCGACCTCTTTTACTTCCACCCAATACAGCTCTTACTTCCCAGCCAATTTTATACCAGGGAATCCGAAGTTCCACATTCCTCAGCTGAGACTTGACCGAGATGAGCGAGTAGATTGGGCTCGCTTCTCTTCGCACCTTCCCCGAGTTTGTGGATTTTCCTCTCTCCTATCTCTCACCAAGATTTTACTTTGGGGAGGTAGGAGGAGGGAGAAAGATCAAGGCACAGTATGGAAGGACAGAGACAGAATTAGAGTAGAACTAGAGAAAGGAGTAAAAAGAAAGAGGCAAGGGAAGGAAAGAATGGAAGAAGAGAGACTTCAAAGTAGAAAGGTGGTGTGTTGTTTGTTTGTTGATAATGCCCAGGATTCAATGCTATTCATGTCAGCACGGAATTTAGCACCTAGTGTCACCAAAAGTAGCAGAAAAGCTTAACTCTTTTAAGCTTCCATATCTCCTACAGGTTAAAAATATTGCTTGGAGCACATTATCTGGTCCCTATCAGTCAGGAATGTACATTAGCAGCCACTCTGGGCTTAACTCTAATCAACACTCACAGAGCCCTCTCAGCATTCAGTGCATTTAGAAATCTCCCATTAAGCACAAGGCCCCCCTACCTCACCCTATCCTAGATGACACACACAGGGAAATAAGCCTCTAACTAAACAGAAAGGAAACCTCAAATATACAGAGCAGTCCCCAGACAGCAGCCAAGGAGGGATCCTGAGGCAGCCAGATGGATCAATGACCTCTCAAGGTCCCTGCAGTGCTATAAGGGGAACACGCAAGTCAGTTCGGGCCTTAGATGGAAGAACTTCCAGGAAACATTCCTTGGGCTTAAGGGGTAGGTAATGGAGTGGGGGTGGTCCTGCCTCCTTAGGGTCACATGATATCTCTTCCCTATAAAAGGAGAAAGTGTTTTAGATTTTGTGTACATGATGGAGGGAAGAGGGTATGACTTACTTTTCTCAAAATAGGGAAAAGGAAATAAATTTAACAAGAAGATCCTGGATGGAAAAGGGCAGAAAATAAAAGTAAATAGCACAAATTTCTTGGAGTGCCACGACTCCAGCTTACTCTTCTGGATCTGCAGTCAGGGCACTCTGATAGCAATAGATGCACTTCTAATGTCCTCTTAGATGGCCCAGATTGGAAGAGAGGTTTTCCTTTTCCCTGATGCAAACCCCCTAGAAGGCATGTTCTTGCACGGGTGGTGGGAAGACACAAAGGGCTCTGATTACAAAACCTACGGGAACAGCTGAGGCCTGAATTTACTAGTGCCCTCCAGGGAACAGGCTGGTGGTGGGTTCCTAGATTGTGCAAACCACAGAACAAGGTTCCTCGTCCCCAGAAGTGGCTTGGGAAGTATGCTGCCAATTCTGAGCGTCATCTTGGGAACATGGCCCTCCTGATCAGCCCCAGCAACACACTATCCACCGGAAACATGAGTATGCTGATCACATCTTCATCCTCAGTGGCCAAATCCAAAAGAGACCCATCCGCTGGAGAAGACAGAACTCAGTAGGAGTAGACCTTGATACTAAAGGAGTAGTCCTTTTAAAAAGCAGTTGGCTGTATATATCAAGACTCTTAAAATGACCAAAGCCTTTGACTGGGTAATTCTATTGCTGAGAACCTATCCTAAAATAATTATCCCAAAATGAAGAAAAACCTAAATGATAAAACTATTCCCTGCAGTCTGTGGTAGCAGAAAGCACATACATGGGCTTTGGAATCAGACAAATCTGGGTTGAGCTCCAGCTGCTACTTATTATCTCTAATCTTATAGATATTTCGTAACTTCCTGGCCTCAGTTTCCTCATGCGTAACACAGAAATAACACCTATCTTTCAGGGTTGCAGTGTGGAAATGGGAAGATATGTATAAATTATCTTGCACAGTAGCACAGTATTTGGTAGGCATTAGGCATCAATAACAGTGACTCTTAATACTATATGAAAATAACTAGATACAAATATCCACTAGGAAAAACAGTGACTAAATTATGGTAAATCCATTGTGAAGCCATTAAAGACGACACAAACAAATAATTTATAATACTAATGGAAAACCTTATAAAATAAACTAGATATATCAGTGTACATTGGGTATCTAAAATATATTATAAGAATAATTATGTAGCAGAAAATTATGCTAAAAGATAAAGTGAAAAAAAAAACATATATATAGTGCTTAGTACAGTGCCTGGTTACATCCTGGATTGTTACAAATCAAAAAAAGCAAACCCATGCATTGAAAAATAACTAAAAGGTAAAAAAAATTCAAATGTTCCCTCTTCATAAAGTCTCCCCTCCCAATCCAGCCGTGATCCCTCCACCCTCTGAACTTTCTGGCCCTTTCCATAGAGCCTTACACTTCAGTCTTTAGCCACCTCTGATCACCTTCATAGTGCACACATGTCTCAGTACCACTTGAGGAGAGAGATTATATCTTCCTCCTCTTTGAAGAGCCCTGATGCCTTGTATAGACACATATCAAAATGAATGAAATAGAGAAAAAGGAAGAAATGAAGGGATGGTCAGTACCAGCCCAGGTCCACCAAGAACATAAGCTACCATCCTGTCACATCTGAAGGTGAGACCAGCCCCACTAAAGCCCAGAGAAGCAACCCGCGCTGAGTCACAGTAAGTTAGAAACTAGAGTTGGGAGGGGAGGGAAGAGGGCTTTCTGGGCAGTTCCTTGCTCAGCGATCTTACAAAGAAAATGTTTTTGTTTCCTTCACCCCAATAAAACAAACCTCTATCCTAAGACACAGTACATATTTAGGGAACTCCCTCAAAATGGGCTATAGATCAGCGGTTCTCAACCTGTGGGTAGCGACCCCTTTGGCGGTCGAACGACCCTTTCACGGGGTCGCCTAAGACCATCCTGCATATCAGATATTTACATTACGATTCATTACAGTAGCAACATTACAGTTATGAAGTCGCAACGAAAATAATGTTATGGTTGGGTCACAACATGAGGAACTGTATTTAAAGGGCCAGAAGGTTGAGAACCACTGCTATAGATGTTTACAGGCAAACATGATAGTTCTTATGTAGGTTTAGGTGTATCAGAAATCTGAAGAAGCAGCTGTAGAATTGCACATGCCACCAAAAGAAAATGGAGAGTCAGTTATAAAGAATAACTGTGGGTAATAGCGAAATGGGTCAGGAAGCCCAGTTGGTGTGGCTCAGTGGTTGAGTGTTGACCTATGAACCAGGTCACGGTTCGATTCTAGGTCAGGGCACATGCCCGGGTTATGGGGGTGTACAGGAGTTAGCTGATCAATGATTCGCTCTCATCTCTGATGTTTCTATCTCTCTCTCCTTCTCCCTTCCTATATGAAATCATTAAAAATATTTTTTTAATAATAAAAGAAAGAAATGGGCCAGGAAGACAAAGGTGGTGAAATGCAAAGACAGTATCAGAAAGGAAGAAACAAAAGCAGCACCCAGAAATCCAGAAAAGATGAGCTAGCCTGGAGGTCATAGGGGAACCCCAAAGAACTGACTAGCTTTCTGAAGTTGAAGAACCAGGAGGGAGAATTCTGTCACTGACCTAAAAGAAATCCTCAAAAGAAACAGGATATACTGCAGTGACGATTTTAGAATTCAATATTACCTATTTCAATACTTTTTAAAAAACTAAGTCACTAAGTAGGGCTGAGTTGGTAAAACATGAAACTAACCCAATATCCCAGATAAAATTGCTATAATGTTTTACAATATACAATCCTCAAATTGCTGTGGTCATAAAGCCTAATTTTATACTGCTCAGGGTATCAGCTCAAATAGGATAAAAGAGGTGTCACTGAAAAGGAAGAGCCAGGGGAAGCTTAAAGCTGTGACAAGAAGATACAACAATGAGATGGGATGATCTAGGTCACAGGTACCACAAAAAGGTTTTTATGAAAACTGACTTCTGAGCAGCATAGCAACTTAAGGCCAGTCTCTTTTCAAGGAATGGTACAAACACAGTGACCGATCAGGAATCTGAAGTACAGAGTAGAGGAGTGGGAAGCAGGTAATAGGAAATTCAGTTTCCATGTTGGTTCATAAATTTTCTAGATTTTTCAGGCTCCCTGTGCTGGTGCACATGTCTCTGGCAGAGTATAATGTGTGAGGAAGAAAACAGCAAATGAAGGAGAAACTTCCACAAATAGAAATGAATATATTTAGTTCTTCTTTTTATATAAATTACTGACATTTTTCCATGAAGGAGTAGTCACCAGAGGATACTCAGAGTAAGAAAAGTTAGTGAGTAAAAACTGAAACTTCCCTCTCCTGAGTCCTCTCCCTTTATGTCTTAGAGGCCTATTTGCTGACACGGATAAGCATTTTGCTCCTGTTAGCACTAGGAAGTCTGTAGATGCTGGGAAACAGACAAGCAAGATACTATCAGGCCTCCTGCACCATCAACTGAACTGTCAGCAAAATTCCCACGGCAGCCCCAAAGGACCAGGCATGTGTGGGCCCTGCCTCGGGCTGCTGGACACAGAAATGGAGAAAGTTCTCTATCTCATGGGTGGAAGCCTATTTGACCCAAATGTGGATGAGCTGAGTCCACAAAGCAGAGGGCACACTACCTATCAGTCTCATTCTGTTAGGACTTGGCAGATGTCTGACTGTAGACCAGGCAATTTGGCAATGACGCAACAAATAACACCCTTCTCTTGTCATCTTTCTGCTGCTCACTGACCTCATCACTCTCCAGAGGAGCAGCGAAAACACATTTTAATTATCAGCCTGATTGCTAATAAACAAGGTGGTGAAAAATTAACCTCCCCAAACAGAGAGCAAGTAAAAAGAGGGAGATTTTTAAATAAAATATTGGGGTCAGAACTTAACCCACAAACTTGAGGAAACTCAGCTCAGAGAGGAAAAGCTGGCCAGGCCCTCTGTTTTTGAGTTCACGCCACATTTCAAGTGAGTGGCAAGCTTCCCAGCCACTGTCCACTCTTTTCCCAGGCCAGCTGGCAAAGAGACAACCTGGCATGGCAAGCTGCATGCCAGAGGCACATAAGTGAGTCCTTTATTGTGTTGTCTCCCCCACCCCCACCCAATGCTCTCAGCCAATCCCGAGACTCAGGCCCTATCCACCCTCTCCCACCCACTCCCTATAGACAGAGGGAATAACCGTATAAGGGAGTGACCATCTCACCTTGGCCGTTCTGTCCCTGGAGCCACTCACAATGATGCCCCCTCTGCAATCCACACAGTTCACCTCTTGCTCATGAGCTGAGTACTTGACGGTGAAGGTGCTATGAATCTTATGAACACCAATCTTTCCATCTCTAGGAGAGAAATAAGGAGCCCACCCCAAGAGCCAATTATTCTCTCTGTAAGAAGAGAACAAGTCTATAGAAACAGCCCAAGACTCCAACGACATCCAAATTTGCTAAGCTGTAGGCAATTCAGTCCAATAAGGTCAGTCTGATCTTCCAGATACCTTTACTTCTTCAGTATACTTGGGGCTGAACAGAGCTGAGAGACAAAACAAATTCCCCCTTGAGAGTATCAGGACCAGCTTCACTTTTCATTAAAGGCTCTTCCTGTTTTCCTTCCCAGCTAACCCTAGTAAGGGCCTTTGGGAAATCTCTGTGCTCTGAATGGGGGGAAAAACCCACTACTCCTTCTAGTCCCTCCTCATCCCTTTGGAGCTGAGACAGAAAAGTCAGAGACAGGCAGATGGTCCCTGAAAAATCCTAAGAGGCTGGAAGGAGAAACCTTAGCACTTACCCTCCTGCACTGATAATATGTGAGTTGGCCAACACAAAGTGGCAAACGTCCTCATCATGCCCAGCAAAGACTCCCAGGGGCCGACGGTTCAAGCTGGCACCATCTGGGCGGAACTGATAGGCCAGGATGAAATTAGCCTGGGATATGTACAGAGAATCACCCTCTAGCTGCATCCAGGGCATCTGACTAGAGAAATGAAAAACAAAATTTAAGGATCATCAAGATACAGAATGAAAATCTAATTCCAAGCTTTGGAGAGGCTGACTGATCCCCAACTTAGCAAGGATGACCTGCAAGGCTAAGTCTATCCCTCACTCTCCCCTTCTTCAAAATGACCTTAGGGTACCCTCAGAAAACTAGAGTGACTGAATGTTGTGTTGATCTAGTCATCTTTGGACTACCTAAGAAGAGTGAGAATTAAAAGACCAATTAAATATCACTTTTAGTTGGAGAATGCTTACAATTTAAATTATTGGGTAGGCAGAGCTTAGAAAATGCAATGATTGAGGGGTGGGGAGAGACTAAAAGAAGCCTTCCACGCTGATGAAGTAAATTTTTTCATTCTGTATCCTCACTGATTTGCTAAGTTTCAAGGTTCCAAGACTCCCATACATGTCTCTTTCCCAATAGATTGGTTAGGGTATGATAGAGAAAGAAGAAGAGTGATCCCAGGAAAGCTCCCTTCCCCTGTCATTCTAGTGCAAAGGGGCCATTTACTAGTATAAGTGAAAGGAATACAGCCATTTAGGAAAGGATGCTAATAATGTACTGATTAGCTACCTAGATCCTCACAGGGGATATCTACATTTCTAAATGTATGAGAGGATACAGGGTAAGAGTAGCAATGGAAAAACACAGTCCCTAGGGCAGTTTACTACAGGGGCTACAGAGAAATAGCTCTCATAGGCAGCAGATAAAATAAATCCACACAGAGTTAAAGCTTCCCTCTACAATCTGGCAAGAAGAAAGGTAGAAGGGAAAAAGGAGACATATGTAAAACTTTAAATAATAAAAAAAAGAGCGATAAAGGTATATAGATACTGGCAAGAAAAAAAAAAGTTAGAAGCCACAGACCAGTCCCATGGCACAGAGTGAGATTTAAGAAGAAAGAAGGCCCTGCCAGACACCAGCTCTCTGTGGGGCCTAAGCCCCTTTCCCAAGGTAGACTTCCCAGCAGCCTGTCCTGTGCTACTAGGGATTCTGAGGCTACCAGGTCCCAAGCAAAGCATAGGGACAGTTGATTCATCCCCATTTACAGACACCACCTCTCACTGCCAAGCCTGTCTGAGCAAACTGGGCTGTGTTTCTTCCCCAGACTCCTTAATATAAGCGTCATGGGAATGTGGAAAAGTTCTGCAAATTGACTTGACGGGCCATTAAATGCAGCTTGGACTCTGTAATAACTGAGTTTCTGCTTGTGAGGTTTTTACAAGTGTGCGCATATATTATATGGAACATGTGTAGCGTGTGTATGGATGCCTGCATTCTCTCTCATTATGCACATTCCTCTTCAGCATCCCCTTGCATGAGTTTGTGGCACACTCAAGTGGGCAGCAAGCAGAGGGGTTTGAAATTCGTGTTAAGAGCCATCTGGTAAACAGCCATTGCCTAGGACAAGAAACCAGGTTCATGCCAGGTGAACAGTGGAGAATCCCAGGGCAGCCTGGTAACTGTTTTGTGTGTTTATTTGCCAAACTGCTTTAAACCAGCCAAAAATAATAATAAAAATAAAAATGCCAGGGACAAAACCTTGATAGAGAAATAAACTCTACTTTCTGGTATTAAAAGACAAAAGTGGGAAGCAAAGGGTAAAGTCCTTCATCATAAAAATCCACGTTTCTCCCCTGTGGTTTCTTTACCATCACCACTATCACATTAATTCACAGCAGCCGATGTCAATAAAACCAGCAGAAACTGGACACAAGCGAGAAGGGTCATCAGATGAAGAAGCCTGGCCTCTATATCTATCAGTACAGGTACAGATGAGCAATCATGATATTCCCTATTCAATCCAACCAATCAACAAAGAGCAGTTTTTTTGGTAGAGAATCATGTAATAACTTTGAAAAAGTTATTATGATAAGGCATAAAATCTGTGGCATTAGTAGTTCCAAGGCCATTATTTAAATCTCCTAGCACTTTTTCTGAGCTCTGCCTCCTGTAACATGTATCGACAAACCTTTAGATTCTATTTTGCTTTTTAATAAAGTAGGGGAAAGAACTATAGGAAGCCAGGAGTAAAAGGGTAACTCCCTAGAGTAGAAGATTTAAAGAAAAATCATTGTAAAACAAGATAGGTTGAAATATTGGCTTCATTTATTTCTTTTGATGAGATACATTAACAGTGGTTACCTCTGAGTGGTAGGATTATAAGTTAAGTTTTATTTTCTTCTTTAAACATTTCTATTTTTTTTCAAATTTCTACAATAAACATTTATTGTTTTTATAATCATAAAAATACGGAATTCGTTAAAATACCATTTCTGTAATCCTTTTGATAAATGTGAAAAAAGTTGTCCCTCTGATGTCCCCTTTGTCATATCTAAAGGATCACCAGGGCCATCTATCCAAGAAAGGCTACTCAACTCCAGCTAGGACCAGATTTTTCACTTCCCAGCATGCTTTTCTGTCCCAGGTAGCTTTAAGAGTCAAAGGCTACTTACCTGCATCTCCACTTCAACAGAATCCTCTCTCGGCAGCGCCCCAACCTCCAGTTTTGAGACACCTTCACTCGTTCTTTTACTGGTACACTGGCCATCCTGTGTCCGGACAGAACAGATAATTCAGTCACTACAACTCATTGCCAACCAGAGAAAATTCCATGGGCTTACAAGTCAGGACTCAGGAACATCCAGAACAGTGGTTCTCAACCTTCCTAATGCCATGGCCCTTTAATACAGTTCCTCATGTTGTGGTGACCCCTAACCATAAAATTATTTTCATTGCTACTTCATAACTGTAATTTTGCTACTGTTATGAATCGTAATGTAAATATCTGATATGCAGGATGTATTTTCATTGTTACAAATTGAACATAATTAAAGCATAGTGATTAATCACAAAAACAATATGTAATTATATATGTTTTCTGATGGTCTTAGGCGACCCCTGTGAAAGGGTTGTTCGACCCCCAAAGGGGTCGCAACCCACAGGTTGAGAACCGCTGATCCAGAATATATCTGGATATAAATGAAGGGGCTAGGAGACAAGAAAGGAATAACTCTTCTCTCTCCATGCTAGGATATCTAAGAAATCCAAGGAGAACAGCTTTTCCTTTAAAGGGTCTATAGTGATGCTAAAGCAATTTAATAAAGGATGACAAACAGTGCTGGAAGCACAGACTATCCATAAGGAAAAAAATGAACCCTGACCCCTACCTCACACCATAAGGAAAAATTAATTCAAAATAGATCACAGAGCTAAACATAAAATCTGTTTATAAAATTGCATATCAGTAGAGCAAAAACTGAATTTAAATTATCATCTCATATCACAATAATCTCACCCAAAATGAAAGTGAATTTAAAATAGGTTTTTAACTAAAAGTTGTTTAAATACTGCACAGAAGAAAAAAGAGATTAAAATGAAAGCAACACAGTAGGAAAAATTAACAGTTAATACCATAAGTAAAAGTTTTATGCTTAAAAGTTTTAAGAAACTGTAAAAACCTATCAGGGTAACACCCTGTCTCCAATACACTGTCATCCATATCCAAAAGCAGCTAAGAAGAGTCACACAGTGTTCACATGATAAAACACTAGGGAAACAGCCACAACAATAATAGTTCACAGAAATGCACATTAAAACAATTATTAAAAATAAAATTTAAAAACAACTATTAAAAGTACCACCTCACATCTATTAAGTGGAAAACCACTAACTTTGGTTTGACAGAAGGATTTGGTTTGGCTATGCATTGCTAGCAGTATGCTGGCACAGCTTTTCAGAAAGGAATTCTATGGAGAAAAGTTGTTAAATTATAGCTTCTGACCCAGCATTCCCACTTTGGGCACTGCAGCGCAAAGACATAATTCAAACAAAAAATATATTTTATGAAGATATTTATAGTTGCAGCTATACATTAGAGCTAAAATCTGAAAATAGCCCAAATGTCTGTCTGTGGGAGAGAATGGTATACTAATACAATGAAATATATTGCCCACTAGAAATGATAAATGTGAGGACTGCAAAATACTTTGGAAATTATTATAGCAAGGAATGGTAATTTTAAAACTAAGTCAAATTTATAAAGTAAAGGTGAGGAGACACTACATAAAATTATGTCTCCATAAATAACAGGTCAGAAGAGGTAAATAGATGGTACTTTAGGAAGTGAGCAATTTTTAAAAAAATATATCACATAATTATTGTGTTAGGTCTTTCAATTTACCCTTAAATAGTAGATTAAATGCAGTTATGGGGAAAGTATAAAATGCAAACTTAGAAAACTGGGATCCAAACCTGGTTATCTAATTTCTCTAGTTATCAATTTCTTTGCCTATGAAAGGGTAATATTTCACACAATTGTGGTATTTTAAAGATGACACCTAAAACAAAGTACAGTATGAGTTATAAATCACTACAAAAAGGTTAATTTTACATGAATATAAATATATGTAGTGATTAATATCCATTAATGGTGCCATCTCTAAAAGCTAATTAATCATTTTTCTTCTAATTCAATTATAACTATTAGAAATTGTTCTTCTAATGTCAAACAGTCCTCTTTCAGGCTGAATGATTAATATTTGGGTGCACACATGCTAAAGCTAAAATATATTACTGAATTTGTCCATTGGGTGACTATGGTCCTTGGTTTCACATTACTAGTAAGTAACCTATACTACCAGCTAGACAGAGAACTGAGGACAGTAAAAGATAGTCAACAGGGCCTGGCCATGGTGGCTCAGTAGTTGAGCATTGATCTATGAACTAGGAGGTCACAGTTTCCGGTCAGGGCACATGCCTAAATTGTGGGCTCAATCCCTGAGGGGGGGGGGGGGCATGCAGGAGGCAGACGATCAATGATTCTCTCTCATCATTGATGCTTCTATCTCTCTCTCCCTCTCCATTCCTTCCTGAAATCAATATATTTTAAAATTATTTTTTAAAAAAAATAGTCAACAGGATGGACCAAAAGAATTGAACTCTTAATGAAAAAGATCAGATTTCCTGTCAAATCTTATTTGCACAGCCCAGATATAAAAGAGATAATTTAGCATAACCAATGGACACAGTAGCGGAGTGAGGGCATGTGCTGGGGGCGGGGGGGCGGAGCAGCTGGGGAGAGGTCAATGAGGGAAAAGGGAGACATATGTAATACTTTAAACAATAAAGAATTTAAATTTAAAAATAAAAAGATAGCTTACAGCTAACCTCTCCTCTTCGGTTAGGTCTAAGTTCATAGGTGGAATAAAACCAAAATTGAATGTTCTGGATCATAACAGGAAGGAAACAAGGGGGAATGAATCAGTAGATCTCCTGAATTGGGATAAGGACAACACTTCTCTCATCTCCCTGGTCACTTAACTGCAATTTGGTGACACTTTACTAAGGGTCAAAGCACTGCCCTGAGGGCCTGATCAGAGCAGCAAGAAACTTTCAGAGTTGAACTTTAGAAGCTGCGACCAAATAGCAGGTACAGGCTTCCTCTCCCACAGTGAATGCTTCTGGTCCTTCAAACCACATTTCAACTGTTTTAAACCATTCCATTTGGCTTTCAGCCGAGATATAGTACCACTTTGTTAAGAGCAATTGAACAACCAGGCTTTTTCATCCCTTTTCTTTTTTCTTCTTTCTTCAATCATCTCTGATGGTTTCCTAGCTAGACAAATCATTTTCATGTTCTCATTGGTTTTAATGCCTGAAAAATCAAGAATTAAAAAAATTTCCGCCGAACCGGTTTGGCTCAGTGGATAGAGCGTCGGCCTGCGGACTGAGGGGTCCCGGGTTCGATTCCGGTCAAGGGCATGTACCTTGGTTGAGGGCACATCCCCAGTAGGAGGTGTGCAGGAGGCAGCTGATCAATCTCTCTCATCAATGTTTCTAACTTTCTATCCCTCTCCCTTCTTCTCTGTAAAAAAATCAATAAAATATATTTTAAAAAAAAAATTTCCTTCTCTGAAAGCAAGTACCCCTCCTTCCCTGTGGGGACCTGCTGTGGTCCAGTCAGAGAGGGTCAGTAAAACAAGGCAGCAGAAGTGCCTGAGAAGACAGGAGCAGTTGCCCCTGGGAATTCAACAAGGACCCTGGTTCCCATCCTTGAAATGCTCTCTGGTTGGCCGTTTCTGCAACACAGTTACTGGTGTGAAGTGGGGGTACTCCCTCCAAAAATGATTGGTGCCCTGTAAATAAGCCTCTTGCATGGCTGTTATGCACGGAGGAATCTCTAACCTGGCCTATGGGCCTACTGGAACTTCCATTTTCCCAGCCCTCCTTCTCTTGCCTCAGGCTCATTTTTCCACTTGGGCCCCCTCTTCTCAGCTTTCCGGCACTTAGTCACCATTATAGTTTGACTGCATTCCTGGGCACATGACCTATTTTAAACAAAAACAACCAACATGCACCCACAGTAAGCTATTGGACCCCTTAAAATCTTGGCAACAAGTGAGTCCAGAGGGATAGAAATTAATCTAGGCAATTATCTAGAGTCCCCTTTCATTTCACCCCTCCTCACACTCCAAACCAAAAGCAAATAAATAAACCTAGTCTGAAAAAAAATGGTTGGGGGGTAAAGGAAAGGAAAGTGTGTCTATATTATAGAGGTCTTAAACCTGCACGGTCCCTAAGATCAGAAAACGCCTGCATCACAAATCAATTTCCCTCCCTGCTCTATCTTGAAGTTTGACTCCCCTTGATGCCACCCAAGCTGTCCACCTGCATGACTGGCATGATTACCATAAACATAACTTCCTGCTGACTTGAAAATTCAGAAAGGGAGGGTATCTGTCCACAGGTGATGGACAAGGCCATCTCAAGGAGCACTTGGCTAAGGAGGGGAAACAGGACTATGCAAAATGATGCTTGGGGGCCTGGAATTTTAAATTAGTACTATCTCTTGATTTCTCTGATCTTCTTACTCTCCAGAAAGCAGAGTTCCCCCCACATTGTCTGTACCCACCAACTCTTCTACTAAATTAATAATTTGGCTTTAAGTAGAAGTATTTAAACAGCCTAATACAAGAAACTTCTACAGAAAGTGAAACTACAGAAGCAATCCCATTTACCATTGCACCAAAAAAATTAAAATACCTAGGAATAAACCTAACTAAGGAGGTAAAAGACTTACATGCTGAAAACTACAGGACACTGAAAAAAGAGATAGAGGAAGACATAAACAGATGGAAGAATATACCGTGTTCATGGATTGGTAGAATCAACATCATCAAAATGTCCATACTACCCAAAGCAATTTATAGATTCAATGCAATCCCCATTAAATTACCAACGGCATATTTCACAAACCTAGAACGAACGTTCCAAAAATTCATCTGGAATAAAAAAAGACCCTGAATAGCTGCAGCAATCCTAAGAAAGAACAAAGTAGGTGGGATCTCAATACCAGATATCAAACTGTATTACAAAGCCACTGTTCTTAAAACAGCTTGGTACTGGCACAAGAACAGACATATAGATCAACGGAATAGAATAGAGACCCCAGAAATCGACCCAAACCACTATGCCCAATTAATATTCGACAAAGGAGGCAAGAGCATACAATGGAGTCAAGACAGTCTTTTCAATAAATGGTGTTGGGAAA